AGTGGAGTCATTCAGGTTCCTGGGCACCACCATCTCTCAGGACCTGAAGTGGGACACTCACATTGACTCCACTGTTAAAAAGGCCCAGCAGAGGTTGTACTTCCTTCGCCAGCTAAGGAAATTCAACCTGCCACAGAAACTGCTGAAGCAGTTCTACTCAGCTGTCATCGAGTCTGCCCTATTCTATCTATAGCACACCTGTACATACAATTTATTCTTTTTTTATGGTTTATATTTATGCATGTCTTGCCTTGGTGCATCTGGTTCATGTCACATTTGTTTATCTCTGATTCATCCACTCAGAGTTTACTGAAAACAGGTGGCATACAATGAACAAAGTTCAAAGTCAGTGTTTTTATTCCTAAAAGAAGTGTCCCTCTGAATCACAAGCACTTCCTTTTTTTCCCTGTGAATTTCTTGTTAACACTCTTTTCTGGCTGTTGTTAACAAAGATTCAGACCAGCTCTTATACAATTCATCTCTGTTCACAAGTGGATTTTTTTAACTAGAACTTTTAACTCAATGCTTTTTTCATTTATTTTGCAAGCCTGGTGATTGGATTTTGCTTTTTTGTCTTAAAGCAGGTTGGTTTGTATTATTAAATGAATAGGGAGAGAAAGTTTTCTATTTTGAGCTGTTTGGTGTTTCTCCTCAGTACTAGAGAATATCTTGTCTTTTGTTAAAAATATTTTAGCTTTTTGTGGTTTGGTATTATTGGTAGTAAACCAGACTTTGTTTTAGTCTGAAAAGCCACACTCAGTTGATTACATTTCTAGGTTCCCTTTCTACATGAGCAAACTTGTTTGTGTTCATCCATTTTTAGTTTTATTTCAGCTACTGTATTAAGAAAGCAAATATGTATACTTGCACTACTGTTTAAAAGTTTGGGTTCAGTAAGTTTATATTTCTTTAGTATGTTTTTTTTTTTGTCATTTTATTTTATTTGTTAATACTTTTTGATTTGACAAGGATGCATTAAACTGGTCAAAAGTAGGGTTGGGTATCGTTTGAATTTTATCGGTTCCGGTTCCGATTCTGATTATCGATTCCGATTCTTATAGATTCGTAGTTTCGATTCCAATAAGATAAAAAATCCAATATAAAAAAAATGTATATAGTCAAACATTTAGATGTCAAACATTTATTCTGTCTTTTTACAAAGCATTCTGTTGCAGCTGAATAACACGAGCAAAAATCAGCAGCCTACAGAACACTGCAAGATGAATTTTGCCTATGCTTTAAAAAAAATACCACAGCAAAAACAACTAGATTAACACAAATTTCAAATATTAAAGTGTTAAAGACAAGTAAACAGTCAGTAATAAGATAGGAACAAACAAACCAATTAGCAATATCATAAATAAATACAACTGAACAAAATTTCAGGTACAGAAACTGTAATGAAAAGTTTAAAAACACTGCGTAGTTTTCTTTTCATAAATCCGATCTTCTTTATGCACCAAGAGCTTGTAACACTCCAAAGAGAAAGGAAAAATTTAAATCGCATATGACCCCTTTAAAAAAAAAAGACCACAGCAAAAACAACCAGATAAATATAAATTTCAAATATTAAAGTGTTAGAGACAAGTAAACAGTCAGTAATAAGATAGGAACAAACAAATCAATTAGCAATATCATAAATAAATACAACTGAACAAAATTTCAGGTACAGAAACTGTAATGAAAAGTTTAAAAACACTGCGTAGTTTTCTTTTCATAAATAAAATATAGATTAATCAATTAAAGTTATTAAGTATATTCAGTCAAGATCAGTGAATGATTTTCTTTTGTTCTTTGATTAACATTAATGACAGGCAGCGCGTTTATTAGGCTGCTGTCTCTTTAACACCGAACGCACGCAGATCTAAAAATGCTGTACATGTGTGTTTTCTTTCTCATCTGTTTACGTTCACGTAAGACAAAAACGGCTGTGTTTATGATGATATACTGACGTAGTTTTCTGCATATTGGTCGACAGATATGAAAAAAGTCAGTTTCGGCCTGGAACAACCTTTTCTACAGTGGAAATACACGGAACGGTTCGAGAACGGACAAACCGGAAACCCGTACCGCGACCTCTGTTCTCTGTGGTCACGCTTGCGCTTCGTGTGCGCTGCACGCAAACACGGCGCAAGTTCTTTCCGTTCCTGCACTTAAATCGTTTTTAATCACATTAAATTGCGAACGCAGGAATCGTTAAGCAGAATCGAAATGCACGCGTCTTATCGAATACCCGGTTCTTGGAAATTTGGAACCGGTTCTAAAATGGAACCGGTTTTCGATACCCAACCCTAGACAAAAGTGACATTTATAATGTTACAAAAGATTTCTATTTTAAATAAACTTTGTTTTTAACATGGTTGTAACAAGACATGTTATTAGAATGATCATGTGGCACTGAAGACGTTTCATTTAGGGGATCTGACATGTTATCAGGTTTATAGTTACTAGATATTTTTGTCATAATTAATTATTTTTATGTTTTGTTATATTCATGAGAATTTAGTTCTCTGTTACCTTGAACTGTCCTTGGGTGGTAACGTGATGTGAAAGATATGAATCAGCCATTAAAAAATTATTCTTGCTAAACATTTTTGTCCTGAAATCATTTATCAAGAGTAGAGCATTATATGTGTTTATAATGTGTTTTAGAGTTACTTTGTCGGTTGTCTGTATTTATTTTAAAGCCTCGGACTAAATAACTCACAGCTGATCTATTTTCCACAGCCTTGGCACAAAACACGTCACACAAGAGGAGAACCATTTGATGGAAGAAAAGAAAAAGAAAACGCAAGAGGAAAAGAAAAAGAAGGAAGCTGCTCAGAAAAAGGTCAGTTTCTTTCGCGTGACCCACAAGCTTTCACGTAGAATCTTTCGCTTGCATCCTTGTTATAAAAGCCGCTTAATGGACACCTTACTGATTCTGTCATAAGCTTCTGAGACATCTTTACCAATGTAAACCACAGGTACCAAACTGGACACCTAGAGCTCACAACAATCTGTTTAGCATCTGCCTTTGAAGCTCTGTTCAAACACAGATAGTTATTATGGTGCTCACTTCTTAGACATTGTCGTGGAGTCATCTTGGTTTTACTAATGCAACATTCACCGAGGTTACACAGGCCACGTCCTGCTGCTCTTTGGATTGATTAAGCACCAAATATTCAGCTAGATCTCTATTTAGCATAATACTTAAATAGAAAATCAATCAGTTATAATCAGTAATGTTTTCCAAGATTTATGTTCCATTAGTCACTTTTACTCGGTTTTGTTCTTCCAGAAGAGACGCTTTCTTTGTTATAAAGCTTTTGTACGTTGGACCTGTGAAAGTGTTCATCTCTGTCTACCTTTGTTCTTCCTTTACAGGCTGCTGAACAGAAAACCAAAGGTCAGTTATGATTCTCTTTGCAATGCTGCTCTAAGTTTATTTTTTAAAGATCTTCTCCATATACATATGTTTGTACCACATGCATCTCAAACACTACTGGAGTGGCAAAACAAAATAGTTGTATGTGCGACAGAATTTTTAAATGCTAACTGGCTAGTGTGTCTTAATCACTTGAGAGTAGAGAAGAGGTGAAGAGTAGGTTCTGTGCAGTTATTTAGTGTATGTGGGCGAACTGAATGACTGGCACAAGACAGCGCAACAGTTGGTAGAGACAAATCGGCCATGTTTGGTAACTGCTGAAGGATTTTGTGCATTTTAAACATTTAAAAGCAGGCGTATTGAGCAGTTGTAACTGGCCATGCAGTAAATCAGGATTATATTCCTTAAAGGGATAGTTCACCCAAAATGGAAAATTCTGTCATTAATTACTCACCCTCATGTCTTTCCACACACATAAGACCTTCGTTCATCTTCTGAACACAATTTAAGATTTTTTGATGAAATCCGTGAGCTCTCTGACCCTCCATAGACAGCAACACAACTGACACGATCAAGGCCCAGAAAGGCAGTAAGGGCATCGTTAAAATAGACGCTACATTTTTGGGTGAACTATCCCTTAGCTTACTACTTTGTCTTGCACAGCTCATGTTTTATTCATCATGAAT